AAACGCCATCATGCCTTCTGTCGTTATTACACAAACAAAAATCTCTTTACTGTTACTAGTGTTAGTGCCTCAATATGGCTACGCTCGTGAAAGCAATATACAACGAACTCAAACGCGTCTTCGTTCAATGTTGTCAACAAATATCCGGATTATGCAAATTTTCCTCAATTCTCCGGAGAAATGTTCATAAAAATTTGAAAAACCCGGAATTCCGGGAAAACCCGGAGGACTTTCATCTCTGAATTAATGACAAACTGTACCTCTTGGTCCTTTTAACTTCCTTCTGGTGTTCTGTTAAAACTCTCTCCTTTGCTTCCGGTGGAATGAAGACAAAGTCAACAGAGGCCTCCTCATCCAGTACTTCCCTGCGAGGAACCTTGATGGAGCCAAACTCCAGTTTTGTCTGCCAGGAAATTTGGTAATTTTTTAAAGCAAAAGGACAGAAGAAAGTTTCGGCACAACTTCAGACATGATGTGCAACTTACAGAAACAGATTTGGAGGTTCTCAAGGAGCTTCGTCTACTCAGCTCCTCCCTCTCTACAAGCAGAGAGTCCCTCTTCGTAGTAGAGGCAACTGTCACACCACTGAGTTTGGTTTCTAACTGGGAATTCTCCCTCTGAAGAAAATAAATGCATGTAAGAGAAACACTAGAAGGGGGGCGGGGCAAAAATTCAGGATGACTCACGGAATACTGTCCACTGAGCTCGTCGGCCAAATTAATTGTCTCAAAGCCAGGAAGAATGATGGGAGTATTTTGCTTCACTTGGCTCAGAACTGGCCTGTGAAGAAACCCGGTGAATACAAATTGCAGTTACCTGGGCCAAACGTCAGGTGCAGCTAATGGTTCCAAAGTAACCTCTAATGACTGATTGCCAAATGACAATAAGAGGTGGTGGTCTTCACCTGAGCTCATCCGGGTAGATGAGGCCGACCGCATTAGCAAAGGTGGAATTCCAGAAGTGGGTGACAGCCGTGCGGTGCTGCTTGATTTTGTGTGGGAACAGCACACAGAGCAACGGTGAAAGCAGAGCCAGGAGCTCATTGTCAGTGGCCAAGTTGGAGCAGCTCTGAATGCAGACTAAGACCTCTCCCAGAAGCTTCTCCATCTGCAGGGGCAAAGTGTTCATTATACTAATTCAACTTTGAGAGAAGACAAAGAGAACCCACTTTGGTCATAATCTGTGTTGTAAATCTGGGGGGCTTGCAGGTTGCTTGCTTGTAGAGACCAACGAGATGCGGAATGAGGGCGGTCAGAGCCTCTTTTACAGCGTTAGCAAGCACCAGGTTGGTGAAGAGGGCAGACAAGACAGAGAGCAGGGCTATGCCCGTGGTTTCTGATGGAACATCCTCCACTGCCAGGTAAACATCCAGACACTGAACCAGCAGGGAATGGAAGGTGGACAGGTTGCCAAGAGCCTTGCTTCTCTTCTTGGTCCAGTTTACTGGAGTGTGAGGAGCTGCAAGAGGAGGAAGTTTGTTTTTCGGCCAGTTTGCTATCACAAGACAAAAGTGTAAATTAAATTGTCCAAACTGAAAATAATTCGCCGTAACAGAACTCACCCACTCTATCAGATCAGACGATAGTTTGCACATTTTGTAATCAGCTGTAAAGTCGTAACTCACCGATGCAATTGATAACCTTAACATTGATCAGATCGGTGAATTGAGACTTTACAGCCACATGTCGTGTACACTGCCACGCACCCTAAATGACCTTCACTCCAATTGGGTCTCTGTTTTCCTGAATTTTGGCGACTACTGGTAGATTCTTTTGCTGCGCGTAGATTGTGTCGCTCAGCCTGTGTGGTGGTTGAGCGAGTCTGTTAACAGACACACGTACCGCTTTCCTTTGTGGTATAGTAAGGCAAATACTTCAGTCATTTGAGGTACTGTAGCAAATATATTTAGTGTTTATTTTGAGAATCGACGTTTGAGGTATCAAAGGCATCGACAGCTCAGACAAAATCGATCTCAACACCACTCAAGCAGGCGTAAAGACCATCTGGGGGGAGAAAACAAAATCAAGTTCTGGTCGATTAAATATTTCACTGCCACCCTTTCCTTCCTCAAGATTCTTAAACATGGGCAAAACTATTTGAGAAGAATTTTATTTTTACTTTGTAAACAGTAGACAACTATGTGTACTAAATAAACATTTATTTAAATAAATATTGGTTCCATTTGGTGATCAGATCTATTTTTTTAACTCGCTGATCAATGATTGAAAATCCTGTACATATTAAGTCTAAAAATAAGTGGACTTACACTTGAGTTTTTGCTGGAACTGTGATGTGTAGGGAGAGAAGTCCATACATTCCACCATGACTTGAAGGATGCAGGCAACAGTTGTCAGCATGGATGGAACCTTAACCAAAAAACAATTGTTAAAAGGAAATGTATACACATAAATACTCAGGTGTGGGTTTAAAATTATTAAATATATTATGTGTACATGTTTTAGGGATGAAACAAAACCTTGAGTAATTCAAGTACTTGGATTCTTAAAAATTCGAGGCATTTTTTTCTGCCTCAAGTACCTACTTATTTTTGTGGACACTGTCACGAAAAAGAAGTCAAGCCAACCGCAGCAACAATTGTTCATGCTATGTATGACAGTAACGCGCAGCCAACGTGGTGATAAGATCAATTTCAAAATAATCCTTACATAACCAAATATTTTATGGATCTCCCTCTTCACCACAGGTTTCAAAGTCAAGGCCCGGGGGCCAGATGTGGCCCGCCACATCATTTTATGTGGCCTGCGAAAGCAAATCAAACATGCCAACGTCCATGACGCTTGCTAAAATATATACCAAAAATTCATATGAGAGATATTGTAAGCATTTTCTTGTTGCCAAAGAGCTCATTACACAGAGATGAAAGTGGACTTTTCTGAAAATCCCGAGAAAAAAAAAAAAAAATTATATATATGTACACACACACACGCGCGCACACACACGTGGCAGATCACGCATGAATTAGTTTACACAAAACGCTATTCAAATACTCGACATTCAATGATTAGTCTTCCTTTTGTGTGCACACGTGCACCCTTTGTGGCTTCCGTTCTTGACGAAATTTCAAAATCTCCGAGAAATGGTGAGGCCATGAGAATGCGAGGCGAGGGTATTACTGTTGCGGCGACGCCACTCAGGCGAAAAGAGCCTCAGCAGTAGATAGTCCGCTGCTCCCTGCTGTGCGTGCTTCAGCGCGAACATGTACGCAAGCACGTCTTTTGATTTCAACCAATCAGCACCGACGCAACGACGACACACACCCGACGTCACACACGACAACAGCTAAGCTACGCCAGCCGAGACGACACTCTTAAGTCGGACGGACACGTTTTTCTGCAAATCTGTGTGTTTCCCTTTTTGTCCAAATATATTTTTTACAACTGTCTTGTCCACGGTGTCTTTTATTCGTTCCAATGGCGTTTAGCAAGTGTGTTTATAAAGAGACGAAAATCTCTTTACCGTTACTAGTGTTAGTGTCTCAACATGGCTACGCTCGTGAAAGCAAAACAACGAACTCAAACGCGTCTTTGTTCAATGTTGTCAACTAATATCCGGATTAATTTTAGGCAAATTTTCCTCAATTCTCCGGAGAGATTTTCATAAAAATTTGGAAAACCCGGAATCCCGGGAAAATCCGGAGGACTTTCATCTCTGATTAGAGTCACTTAAACAATAGTTGAATAAACAGTTATTCTTAACTTCCTTCTTTGATTTCAGTCCTAATGGCCCTCCAAGGGAAACGGTAACTAAAATATGACCCGCGACGAAAATGGGTTTGACACCCCTGCTCTACATGAATGACTGCATCTCAGCACACCCAGCTGTCAAACTCCTTTTAAGTTTGCAGACAACACAACAGTCATCGGCCTCATCAGAGAGAATAATATAATGACAGGAACTGGAACTGGAGCAGCTAGAGCGGACAACACAACCTGGGGCAGAACACGCTCAAGACTGTAGAGATGATGCCCATAATCCTATAGCCCATTAAATCCTTTAACATCTGAACAGTGATATCATTCGATAAATCAGCTAAAACCTTTGAATGGCTTTTGATTGCAAAATAATCTATTTAGTGATCTACAAGCACATGTGAGTGACTCCAACTCACCAAGACAACTTAGTCAGCCATTATGGTGAAGACATGGTCATCCTCATCATATATCCAAGATTGTTATACTTCTTGCATTTATGGCAAATACGTCTGCCTACTATTGTAACACATACTCTGATAGGCATGTACATGTTCCCCGTTTGCTTCAGATTGTCAGACTAAAAGTCAGTTGACTGTCGCCACGGCCGGCTTCACAAAGTTCCCCTCGTCGACAATAGCGTAAATGTTCTTACTGTGAGAGTATCTCGATCCACCGCGGCGGCCATTTTAACACAGAGCTCCTCACAGCAGACATTCTCCTCTGCGGTAACCACCAGAGCCGAACAGCGTGCAAACACCTTGTACAGTTTGGACCAAGTAGACAGCATGGACTTCTGGGCTGCCTGTAAAGGAGAGTCTTTAGGAAACTCTCAAAACAAATTTTGTGATGAATTAACATTTGTGAATGCAAACCTGCTGCTGAGGTGAGCCACTCAGCAGGTGAGTGATGGGGAACATTAGGGCAGAGTGGACGGCGCTGAAGTTGTGCTCCAGGGCGTCCCCTTGGTTGACTTCATTAGACTGCAACGAGATTTAAAACACTTTCACAATTTGAAACCAACAATGTACATTGCCACTCTCTCAATTGTTTACATTATGTATGTTTGTGTTGAGCTGTCACTCCACGGCTGACAGTCAATACAACTGTTTAATTTCCTACTGCTTATATGTATAATGTTGTTCAAGACTGCTGAACTTCCATGACGGAGGGCAGAAGTCTGTTGCGAGTGTCAGTGGGAAGTTCTCTCAACATCATCCATTCACAAATCCAGCCCCACAGATACGCAGCCCCACAGGTTAGTCAGGCTCAACGTGTTGGTGGATAATAAAAAAATAAAACTAAAAAACAACAAAAACAAAGACTGGGCAAAATTTTGTCAAAGCCCCCCAAAATTGAATTGGAGCTAACACATTGAAGAGACACAATGGCCACAAGTCACCCATATCAGAAACTAACCAATCAGAGCAAAATTGTTTTCTACATTGAATTGAGGAGAACCAAGTTCCAAGCGGAGCAAAGCTCATTTACAGATTGAATATTTTAGAATAAAGACTGTTCAAAATGTATTCATGACCAATGAAAATAATATGGAAAAAAGACAAGTTATCTTGCAAACCAAAAACAATGACAAAGTTTTTTTTTTTTAATGATAGTGGGGCCTTGAAGATTTTTTTCCAGTGTACCTGTGTGATTGTGTCTGTGAGCGGGGCGACCACGACGCTCCACATCCTCAACAGGTGCTCCTTGCTCTGCACTGAGGCGGCACTGCAGCCAGCCGCGGCCAACACTGCCTCGGCGAAGGCTAGTGGGGAGGTGGGGCCCGACAAGCTGCAGCCCACGAGTGTCTGGAGGCATTGATAAAACCTGCACACACAGAGAAATAAAATGTTTCTTCCGGGGAAACAAAAATATCCATCCGTCTAGCTCAAAACAGTGGTTCTAAAACTTTTTAGAACAAGGTATAACCCCAAACAAGTACCACAATAACAGCCAGAAATATGGAATAGAAAATTCAGGGCCATTCACCTCCAATGACCCTCGGAGCACATGGAAAGGCCTTACGGGCATCACAAACGACAACACCAAGAATGCATAAATGCTCAACAGACCCCGCCCTGCCAGTTGCCTTCTTTGAGGACTATAACATCACCATACTCATACCACCTCCGATACACGCCCCTCATTATTTCACCTGCAGATGTGAGAACACTGCAAAGGATCAACCCTCACAAAGCTGCAGGCCCTGACTGTACCCCCTTACTTGCTGACAACATTTTCAACACCTCGCTCCAATTTTGAGCCTGTCCCAAATTGCCTGAAGAGTGCCTCCATCATTGTCGTACTCAAGACCTCCACAGCGACAGGTCTGAATGACTATCGGCCAGTCGCCCCCCCTCCAATAGTTAAAATATGTAGTGTGTTCCTTGAAAAGTAAAATATGGATTGTACATGAAGAAAAACAAAACACTGTACTACCAACCAAATTTACCCACTGGTTTCCATGTGTTCAACTGGAACACAGCAAGGCTGGGAGATGTGATGTTTCAAGCACTCATTGCGAAGACCTACGCCAGGTACCACATATTGAGTATCACTAAGAGAGATTCTGTGAACCACTTACAGGTAGACAAACGAAACGAGACTAACCCATGAAAATATGACCGCACAGTTGCATGCCGCCAAACAGCAATTATTAGTGGTGAAACAAAAGACTCAATCACAGCGCTTAAAAGAAAAAGACACTAAAGTCACCTGGCGTCTTCGATGTAGGCCGCCAGCATGTTGCTGTCAAAGAGGAGCAGAATGAGGAACAGTGCCGGTGTTCCCTAGGAAGAAACAACAAGGGTCAGATGTCTCCATCATGGCATTAGTGAAGAGAAGAGCATGAAGCGCACATTCAGCACATCCATCTTGCCCACTTGGTAGGAGGCGGAGCCTAGTACACGTGGGGAGATGCCTTTCACGGTGCTCTCGAAGAGAACCTGAAGAGAACAAGATGTAAATACAGTGAGCACCTGTACATTTGATATTTCCAAGTTCCCCTTTTTACATTTTTTTCCCTGTGGATCCCGTTGTCTATTCACGGAATCTCCGTATATTTCTAGACATGCAATCCAATTGATTTATTAGTTTAAGACTAGTTCGCAATCCAACTGCACTCTGGCTCCACAAAAAAGGGCTTGTATCTTAATGTCAACGTTTCCGAACGTTGAACGCGACCTGGGAGCATCTCAATTGACTAAAACCAACTATTTTATTTTAATTAGTTTTT